CAATCATCCTCAAACATAAATTCCAAATAGTGCGCTAGTCACCTTGAAACTCAATGCATCATCTACCACATTTTCCTTCCTATGGTGGTATAAAAATCTCGCAGTTGTAGTCCTTCACTACATCAAGCTATCTACGCTGCATCATATTTAGATTTGGCTGATCCATCAAGTACCTCAAGCTCTTCTGATATGTATAAATGGTGCAACGGACCCAGTAAGGATAATGTTGCCAACTATTATGGGCAAACACCACTGCCCCCCAACTCCAGATCATGTATGGGATAATTCTCCTCATAAGGCTTTAGATGCCTCGACGCATAAGCGATTACATGGCCCCGGTTCATAAGCACTACACCCAACCCCGTGATCGAAGCATCATAATAAACTAAAAGGTCATAAATGCCCTTGGGTAAGTTCAGAATCGAAGCATCGTATAATCTTTTCCTTAGAGTCTCAAATGTCGCCTGTTTCTCAGGCTCCCAACGGAAGGTAACTATCTTCTTCGTCAACCTGGTCAACGGAACTACGATCCTGGAGAAATTCTCAATGAACCTTTGGTAATACGATACTAGGCCAAAGAAACTCTGAATCTCAGATTGAGACCTCAAAACGTCCCAATGCACCACAACCTTCATCTTGGCTAGATCGACCAATATATCCTTCTGGTTGAAAAGGTACACCAAGAATTGCACCTCGCGTAACCAGAACTGTAACACCCTGTTCCGAATCGTTTCCTAATTCGGGGCCGTGATTCGAAGATCGATTATCATAAGGCTTAGGGCTTGTGGGAAAGAGATATTTAGACCCGTTTGGGTGTGGGTTATGTAAGTTAGACGATTCGGGAGTTCGGTTTGTGATTTGGAGCCCAAGGGTATAACCGTAGATTGGCAAGTACGGACCTTTATGAATTTTGGATTTTAGTTAGGGAAGTTTTAAGGAAATGAGGAGTTGTTATAAGTGTAGAGCTTCTCATTACCTTTCCGTGGATATAAAGATCATCGAAAGCGGAGTTGAAACGAAGAATTTATGACTATTTGAAGTTGGAAAGGATTTGGCGGAAGACTGAGCTCACGACGTGAGCAGTTGGAGCTCACGACGTGAGAAGCGATTAAATGGAAATGCTAATTTACACTGTGCTCATGACGTAAGCGTTAAGGGCTCACGACATGAGAACTGTGTAGCCCAAGCCCATGAGTTTTTAGGGTTTTTTTCATATATAATGGTTCGTTCCGTGTTTTTAGGGCATTTTATGAGCCTCCATCATATCTGGATCATCTTGAGAAAAACCCTAGCCTCCCTTTCACCATTTTGAGCCACCCATCTCCTCTTTCATCTATTTATGGAGATTTTGGTGCTTTGAAGAAGAAGAAGAAGATGTTCTTTGTGCTTAGATCTAGCAAGCAAGTTCCCTCATCACCTTAAAGATCATACCTTGGACCATGGAAAGTCCCCAAGTTCCAACCTTTATGTGGTACTCTTCTAGATCTAGAAATTTATGCCTTTTTCTTCATGTTGGATGTGGTTTGAGTGGTTGGATTCCATAAAGTTGGCAACTTTATGGATCCATGAGGTCCCTTTTTACGTTTGGTGTGCTAGATGTATGGTTTGGTTGAGTTTTGGTCCCATGAATGAGATTTGGATCTCATTTTCACCATTTTTGACCAAATCAAGTTCAAGACATGCATTCGACATGCATTTCCATAAAGAAAAGATTTTTATGTTGGTTTTGATGTATGAAAGCCCTCTGGAAAGATAGAATGGATGACTTATTGGATTAAGGACTTAAGACATTAGGATTTAGCATCAGACATAGCTCACGACGTGAAACAAGGAGTTTCACGACATGAGAGTGGTTTTTACGTGGTTATTCCGATGGACTGAGCTCACGACATGACCAAGGAAGGTTCACGTCATGAGGTCTACTAAGTGGGTCATCCGGGACCGAGTTGACTGAGTTGATGAGAGTTGAGTTGGAATCTGGCCGAGTTCATTCTCACAACATGACCAAGGACTAGTTACGATGTGAGTATCAACTGATGGAAATGTTGATTGTTGACTGTTGACTTTGACCGTTGACTTTGAGTGTTGACTTTTGGTGGAGTTGACTTTTGGTCAAATGGTTAGTTTTAGAAGGTGGACTAAGGGTTTACCTTGTATGGTTTGTTAGGAGGTCTACGACACCCGTTCGTTGGCAGTGTGAGTTGTTAGCTGCGGACTTTGTTGGTGAGGTGAGTCTTCTCCCCATGCTTGTGAGTCGAAGGCACCAATACCAGCTCACTAAATTGTGTATGTAGGATGCTAGCTGTGTTTGTGACTCTAGCATGTTTGTATGAGCCTGTGTGGTTATATATATATATATATATATATATATATATATATATATATATATATATATATATATATATATATATATATATATATATATATATATATACTAGTAGCGTACCCGCGCGATGCGGCGGGCGGCAAATAGTTTCATTCCAGGCCGACGAATTGTTCGTCTTCGATTTATTTCGGGCGTCTTGGTCGTTGATTGGTCCAGGGACTCTTTTCGTTTTTTTTTTGTTCGAATTCAGGTTGTTTCGGTTCAGTTTTAGTTTTTTTGTTCGGTTCCACTTTTATGAATTTTGATGTTCGTGTTTTCAGTTGAGCCAAACCCGCTCAATTATATTGGTCATCTTTCGTCAAATTAGACTAAATTTTATCACGAATAGTTTCAATTTGGCAAATAGTTTTACAACGGAGATTAGTTTCACTATGAGGAATAGTTTTAAACAACATTTAGTTTCCTTTTTTAATGAAACGGATAATTATCTTTAGGTTTTAGGGTTTAAGGGGGTGGGGTGGTGCAACAAATATAATTACGTTTATTTGGTTTTTTTAAGGGGTGGATCGCTGTTTTAGTGAGCTGTAGAAACTTAGATGGGAAGTTGACAATTTGTAGCCATGGTTGGAACATTTTAAGAATGAATCGGGAGTGAATCATATTAACTACCAAGAGCAATGAGGGGTCTACACAACAATGATTACATGATTTTGTTTTTTCTTTCGATCAAAAGTAATGTCATCATTTAGACTTACTTATAAAACTAATTATAATAATAAAATGAATAATATTAATAAAATAACAGAGAATGTTTTGTTAAATATAGTTTTTTGTTACAATATATAGGTAATTTACATTCGTTATTTTGAGTTAAAAATAAAATTATATAGTTATTTTAGTTAAATTTGAAAGTACGTTTATTTTTGGGTTAAAACTAAAAATAACTTGTTTTTGTTTTAATATATAAATATGTGTTTTGGATTAAAAAAATATATTTATATTTTGGTCGAAAAATATAAATATAGTATTGTTTTAAGATAATAATAAAATGGCGTTTGATATTTTGAGTTAAAAAATAAGATTGTGTTTAATAAAATAAAATGCATTAAGCGCTATTTTCAATTCAAAAATACATCTGGAAAATTTTGAAATTTTACTACAGTAATAACTAGATTATGGCCCGCGTTAAACGCGGGGAGCATATAAAAAAACATAGAATTGTAAACATATATTACATCATAGGAAGCATGACAATTAAAAATACATTACCATAGCGAACGTGGTTTCCACGGGTTATAACCTAGTATAAGAATGAAAGTGTAATAAGAAAGATGCATAACATATAAGAAAATGTACCTTTGTGGGATATTGTTTGTATTGTTGAATGTGATGGTGTTTTTAGAGCACTGTATGAAGAGGATGCATTCACTAAAGAACAATAGTATGTATATCAAAAACTCAAAATGAAATATAAAGATAAATGGGTTATTCAAATTGAACATTATAAACATTTAAGCACTTCAAATATTAACATAATGCTTAAATATAAATCTTACCATTTGTGATGTCAGACAGTGGTGTTGTTGGGGAAGAGTTGTTGGGTAAAACATTAGTAACAAACCTTGTAGGTTTTTTCTTTCTCGAAACATTTGAAATGTCTTGCATGGGATCAGTTGACACAACTTCACCAAGAAAATCTATGTGACAAAATGTAATAAATTAGTAATAATAATACAAATGTGTATTACATTAAAAATTGAAGTATAGAAATAAGTTAAACTAATAAAGTAACAACATACCAAATGCAACACGAGTGTCAAGGTTCCTGGCTAGCAAATCTGGGAAAGAGATAAAATGATAAGGATCAACCATATCAACAAAATCAGTGGATACACGAACTTTTGTGGTTTTATAGAAATTGATTTTATGTTTGTGAGGAACAAGCATGTATTCGCCTTCATTGCTAGCCATAGCAAAGTTACTGATCTCCCTAACAGCTCCTTCATCGAATAGAGATTCAAATAGAGGAATAAAAATTTTCTTTATTGTTGCTTGTATTCTACTGTAAGGCATAATTGAGCTTTATGATTTGCTGCAACAAATTGGCAAGCCTCAAGATGTGAAGTTGTTGGCAACTGAAGTAGAAACATCAAAGTAAAGACTATAAAAACATGAGTTCTATAATAAATTAACCAATACAAAATTCTTGGCATTAGTGAAATTGGTAAACAAAGTGACTACATATAATAACTTGATACCAAGATAAAATCTTCAGGAAGTTCTTCATTCCCTGTACAAATGGGAAGATAAGAGAATAAAATATAAATTGATGGGACCCCAAAAGGTAGAAAACTATAATCAGTTGTTTGTTTATATATACCAAAAGCTATTGAAATATACCCAAAATATATACTGATTTGGGTTAATATACAGATTAAAAAGACAATTCTTTGGATTAAAAAAATACCTTCAGAGAACCTCTATAATACATGAATGTTGAAGAGAACGATGATTTTTTTCAGTAATGTGGCTTTCATCTTCGATTCTTTCTGTAGGAAAGAAAGTTTCACAAATATTTTAGATATTAAACATAATCAGATGATGTGAGACTAATAATTTCCAACAAATATTTATACTTACATCTAATGAATTCAACTTAGGATTAAGAAAATACCTTCAGAGAACCTCTATAATACATGAATGTTGAAGAGGACGATGATTTTTTTCAGTAATGTGGCTTTCATCTTCGATTCTTTCTGTAGGAAAGAAAGTTTCACAAATATTTTAGATATTAAACATAATCAGATGATGTGTGACTAATAATTACCTTGTAGCAGGTTGGTCTAGCATCAGAGAGGACGTCCGTATGGGTTTTCTCTGGCTATTTTGATGTAACCATATGATTAGTGGGACCATCGTTTGTAATAATTGGTGGTTGTTAGGAGAAAATGAAAAGGAATACGCAAGGTACCTGATTAAATAGAAAAGGAATTAGGTCATCTCGCTCCTTCCCAGTCACACAAAACTACAGACACACACAAGAAAACACATTAAACCTGATAATATAAGACAGGGGTGATCAAATTCCGGCAACAAAGCCGATTCCGATCCCGATTGATGGTGATGCCTCCTTGAAAGACCGATCGTTGTCGAGATAGAGAACAAAGCAGAAAAGCGGTGTGTATTTGCAGGCCCATAGCGGATTAGAAAATTAACTAAAATATGATTGTGGATGGACAGAGAGAAAAGGTGTTCTACAAATCGATGGAAGAAGTGGTGCAGGAAAATGGTGGATAGAAAACCCTAAAATTCAACGACGTTTGTGAATGCCCAATTTCAACGACAAACAGGAGGATCATGATTGGTGAAATCAATCCATTGAGGAGCGTTAATGTCTTCACCTTTTCGAACACAGCTACATCCATTGATGGATTGGAGATAGAAAGGGAAAAAGAAGAAAAAAATGACTTCATGTTGATATCTTCATATACGCTCTTCGTTGCTAAGGAAAACCTAGGAAGGAATGAAACGCAACGACGTTACAATACGATGAGCATGCGTATTTTGGTGTAAGATGATGTCAGCAAAACGATCCTAAGGTAGAGAGCTAAGGAGTGAAATGCAATCAATGGCCATTGTTTCTTCAATTTAGAATTTAAGGTTCTCTTTTAATAATATTTAGAGATTACGCTCTTCGTTGCTAAGGAAAACCTAGGAAGGAATGAAACGCAACGACGTTACAATACGATGAGCATGCGTATTTTGGTGTAAGATGATGTCAGCAAAACGATCCTAAGGTAGAGAGCTAAGGAGTGAAATGCAATCAATGGCCATTGTTTCTTCAATTTAGAATTTAAGGTTCTCTTTTAATAATATTTAGAGATTACCTAGAAATTCAACTGTGGCCTATATTTTTCAAACATTAAACTTACATCTTTGATCCTTTATATTACAGGTTATTTTCAATTCATGTCATTATAAAAATATTATATTACATTTATTATAAAATATAGAAAGATACTACCATTTCGTAAAATATCCAAAATACTATCTAAATGTTTTATGACATTTAGTTTATTAAAAATAGAATAAGTTCATACAACGAATATATTTTTTTTACAAAAAATTTATGTTGTATGAATAACTTTCGAGTGTATGTTAGTTTGTTTAGTTGGAGTGTTTTTCGTAAAAAAAATCAGTTTTTATTAAAAGTCTGTTACTATTTTGTTTAAGAATATAAATATATGTTTTTTCTTGTTAAAAGTAAAAATATTTTTCAGTTTTGATTTAAAAATACAAATACTTTGTTTTTACATGTTTAATAAAATGAGTGTTATTGTTTTTACCATAAAAATTATGAGTATGTCGTTTTCTGAGCTACAAATATAAGTAAATTGTTGTATTTAAGTTGAAAATAAAAATAAGTTGGAAACAAACTGAAAATTTAGTTTAAAAATTAATTCCGGACTAATTCATTATAACCTTAAACGAAGACATGTATAAATTACGACAATATGATTATTATTTTAATTCGTGTATATTATAACTTCACGTTAATTCAAAAATAGATATCTATATTAACCAATATGATATGATTTAGTTAAAATTTTATTTATTATTTACATTGTTGTTATTATATTAAAAATATAAACAAACGTCTAGACATGCTAATAACAAATTTAAGTTTATTTAATATAATATAATAATAAAAATAACATAGCTAGATATTAATTTTAGTTTAAAGCATATTAAAAAAACGTATATATGTATTTTAATTTCAAAAATAATATATATTAAATAATATGTACTTAAAATGTTTGCTTTTTATCTTTCCAATTTAATTAGGGTATTAGGGTTATATCTCATCGATTAATTACAAAGGTAGATGTTTGCTTTTTACCTGTCCAATGTAAATTACATATGGAGGGTATTTATTTTTTTAATGTTCCAATATAAACTACAAATATAGGATTCTTATTGTTTTATACATAGATTTCATTTCCGGAATACAAAGTGTTATACTTTTATAAACCTCTTCTAAAGTTAATCTAGGTGGGTTGAATAATGTTTTATAAAAAAAACGTATTGTATAAAATTTGTAGAAAGATTTAGGCTTTTCTGAGTATCAGTTATTATTTTCGTTTGAAAAGTGGTGAATAAAACTTGGTACTATATTTTGTCATTCTATTTTAAATACCAATCTTTCTATTTTTCTCATGTGTTAATTTTGATATATATTTTTTGATTGGTTTTCAGCCTTCTACCCATCATTGTTCTATTTTTATAGAAAGTACCATAAAATAATTTGCTTTACCCGTCGTCACATACATAAGAAATCTTTTAGAGCATACGGTGTGGGCGTGTTGCTCTTGTTGTGGCTGAGTTGACAGCCCATAACGTCGTTATAACATCAAAAACACCCCCCTCCCCTCCTTGTTGCATCTTGTTGTGGTGCTTCTTGTTGTCTCCATGACAAGAAGAAACGTGATCACCTATTGGCTGCCAAATTATCTCTCTCTATCTCTCTCCTCTTAACATGGTGTTATAACACCATGAACACCACCCTATCATCTTGTTGCTTCTTGTTATAACACCACTTCAAGTTGCCCATACCATATGCTCTTAACTATATAACATATTTAACAAACATGGTATATAGTACATTTTTAAAATTTCTATAAACATTTAAAATTATCACATTTGTCAAAAGACCTAAGTCCAACATCAATTATATTTAAAAAATACATAATAAATCAAGATCATAAATGCAAAAGTACGAGTACAAATATCTATGTAATTGTGAGACGAAGTGATGATCGAACCGAATGCTTCTGATTTCTTTAAACCTTCATCCTATAACAAGGAAAACATAAAAAAAATCAACAAAAACAATTGAGCACATATCACACAAGTCGAAACTCAACGAAATATTAAAAAAAAATACAAACCCGAATATGGGGTTTCAGATGAACATATTTGCTAAAAATAACTAAAAAGAAAGTTAGATTCATAGAGAAAGATAGATAGAGACAGAGAGATGATGTATCTGAAAGAGTTTTACTTTCAATAATGTTATAGATATTAACAAACATAGTGGAAAAAGAAGATGAACCGTTTCGTGTTTGATGTAATGGTGCTTTGGTCATAGAGTTGTAAGGGTCAAAGTGGTAGCTACTCTCTGTTCAACGGCAGATCTGATTTCTTGAATGCATCTTTGTCGAATGCAATGAGAGTTATGAGGAAGCAACAACGGAGTAGTTAGATGTCAAGGTGATGATCTCGTTTTTTAGGAGGGTATCATGGCGAAGGAGGTGTATCACCGGGATAATGGTGAAAGAGGTGGCCGACAAAGGCGGCTGCCAGACGTAGGTGGCAAAAGATGGTGGGGGGATTAGGGTTATTAGAATATGATAGTTTATTTAGTCATTTGGGGGAGAAGTGTCGAGGGTCTTTGATTTATATGCCTTAGTTTTTGAATTTGCTTATTTTTCATTGGTTTATTTCTTTTCACATGGATTACCAACTCAACTATCAAATCTAACCATTAAAGTTTATTTAATGGATGAGATTTTATCTCCTTGTTTTTAAGATGTGGTCTTAAAATTAGTGGTCCCTACTATTATCTATGTATTATAAAGTAGTGTGTGTGTATATATATATATATATATATATATATATATATATATATATATATATATATGCTGACCAGCTGGGTCTTGCTTGTTCTTACTGTGATATGTGATACTGTGTATTAAGACTGCTGATAGTCTCCAGGGTTGCTGATAACCCACCAGGCATGTTGTTTTCCTACTGGGACTGATGATAGTCCCCAGGGTTGCTGATAACCCCTAGTTGTTTATTTGTGTTGTGTTGTGTGTGGTATTTTTGGGAACTCACTAAGCTTTGTGCTTACGATTTGTGGTTTACATGTTTCAGGCTTTCTTATATTAAAGGAGGAGCACGGCTCGATTGCATCGCATCAATGGGGGACTTGTGTACGTTAAAGGAGGAGTACGACTCGATTGCAGTTGTGATTTAAATAAATACTTAAAGTTTTAATCAAAAGTTTTGGGTTGAAATTCGGGGCGTTACAAGTTGGTATCGGGTGTGCCGCCCTTTCTTAGACAAGTTCGTGATCGTGTTCATCGACGATATACTTGTCTATTCGCGGAGTAAAGATGATCATAAACAGCACTTGAGGCAGGTGTTGGAAACATTAAGGGCAGAAAAGCTATACGCAAAATTCTCGAAGTGCGAATTCTGGATCAGGAAAGTAAATTTCCTAGGACACGTGATTAGTAAGGAAGGAATACACGTGGACGCTTCCAAGATCAAAGAGATTGAGAATTGGTCTGCACCAAAGACACCCACAGAAATCCGGCAATTCTTGGGTCTCGCGGGCTATTATCGCAGGTTCATCCAGAACTTCTCCAGAATCGCTAAGCCTTTAACTACCCTGACGCAGAAGGGTGTAACCTTCAGTTGGGGAGCCAAGCAAGACACTGCATTTCAAACATTGAAGCAGGCCATGTGCAGTGCACCTATCTTGTCCCTGCCCGAAGGGACGGAGGACTTCGTTGTCTACTGTGATGCATCCAATCAGGGCTTAGGCTGTGTGCTCATGCAACGAGGAAAGGTTATCGCCTATGCCTCGAGGCAGTTAAAAACACACGAAGTCAATTACACAACCCACGATTTAGAGTTGGGAGCAGTGGTCTTTGCGTTAAAGATCTGGAGACATTATCTCTACGGAACCAAGTGCACTATCTTCACCGACCACAAGAGCTTGCAACATATATTTGATCAGAAGGAGTTAAACATGAGGTAGCGACGATGGGTAGAGCTACTCAGTGACTACGAGTGCGAAATTCGCTATCATCCCGGCAAGGCCAATGTGGTAGCAGATGCCCTCAGCCGAAAGGAGTATTCAGAGCGTAGGGTGAAGGCACTAACAATGACCATCCATTCCTATCTGTCCGTGCAAATCAGAGAGGCTCAGCTGGAAGCCTTAAAACCCGAAAACGTGACAGATGAAGCCCTACGGGGAATGGACAAGAACTTGGAGGTCAAAGGAGACGGAGTGTACTACTTCATGAACCGAATCTGGACCCCACAGTATGGTGGCTACAGAGAAGTGGTCATGAACGAAGCTCACAAGACGAAATACTCCGTTCACCCAGGTTCGGAAAAGATGTACTTGGATCTCAAACAACTCTATTGGTGGTCAAACATGAAAGCGGAAATTGCTACTTTCGTGGGCAAGTGCCTGACTTGTGCCAGGGTAAAAGTAGAATACCAAAAGCCCTCACGTTTACTTCAGCAGTCGGAAATACCTGAGTGGAAGTGGGAAAGGATAACCATGGATTTTATCACCAAGTTACCCAGATCTCCGAGTGGGCACGATGCCATCTGGGTAATTGTCGATCGATTGACGAAGTCCGCTCACTTCCTGACAATCAAAGAAAACTTCAAGATGGAGAGACTCACACGGATCTACATTCAAGAGATAGTTCGCCTTCATGGTGTACCTGCATCCATTATCTCCGATCGAGATAGCAGGTTTACATCGAGGTTCTGGCAGTCTTTACAGAAGG